AGATTGAAGAAAGGGGTAAAAGCCGATGTTCAGATGGTGAGAGATTGAGAATACGTAAATGTGACTATTTTTTCGCTGGGAAGTCTAATCCTGCAGTAAGTTGTACCACTTGCTGAACAAGCTCATGTCATATTCAATCATAAAATAGTGTTAAAGTAAGTAATTGAAAAAGGTTTACCATTTGAAGTAAACTAGACACTCCAGAAACAGATTAAAGCGGTATTCTGTTAAAATAAAGATGTTTTGAAGACGAAAACACGAATAAAAATCTCACGTTCTCGAGACACGCCGCACTCAGCTTTCTCACCGTCGCGACGTGCAGACGACGTAAGTTGGACGGCTCAAATATATGCTAATTAATCCAAAATCGGGCAACTTCTTATTCCCGGTTGCCGTCCTCCACCTTACCGTCCACTCTATCTTAAGGTCCGTGTTATTCAGTTTGACTCAGTTCATTTGCGCCTGTTTTAGCGATCAAGAAATGATCCTGGCTTGAAATATTGACTGCAGAAGTATTTTTCAGAAAACAATGAAGTAATTTGGGCCAGTAGCGGCTTCAAAATAAGAGTGAAAATCGAGATAAAAGAGCAATTTTCGGTGCGTCTCACTTCGCAGACGAGTTTGTTTATGTCGCGCGATATGTTTCTCCTCATTGTATCTCAGTTTTGCTTTTTACCGTCGAAACTTTGTCTTTTTTCCCTGAAATCTAGTTTGGAATTCATTTTTCACCGTAGAAAACCCAATTTTATTAGGGACTGATCGTTTATTACGTTCAAGGGGAAGGGGGCGGGGGTTTTGGAGGGGGGTAAGAAGCTTGATTTTGGGGATCAATTTTGAAAATGCACAAAATGTGAGGGGGGTCGAAATATTAAGACACAGGACTAGCCTCCTATTTAAAAGTTGTCAAACTATATTATGATTGAAGCAAATGCACGTTTCCTTCATGCCCAAAAGTAGAAAAAAACATACGCTTCGGCGGTTCTTCGCCAGTAACAAAATGTTACCCGTATAAAGCTTGGCCCAGGAACATATCAGCTATTTCTCCTACCAGGAATGGAGTGTGCATGTACGCACATACGCCTATGCATACAGCTGAAATCTGGAAAAATATATAGATTTTTTGTACTTCCTGAAAGCATTTTTATCATTAAATCGGGATAAGTATTTCCTTTATACTTTTACTGATTAAGAGGAGCAAAATGGATCCGAATGTGAAGCCACAAACCTTGGTTGAGATTTTTGACCAAGCCAGCTCCAATTCTATCCCGGGGTATATGTAGCTCTCATAACTTTGCTGACTTACCCTGTGTCAACATGCACAACTGAGCGTAGCTTCAGCAGTATGAAGAGACTGCAAACTCTTACGAAGGACCATGACAGACGAGAGATTGAGTTCTCTTGCAATTCTGCATATGAGCACAAGGACGTAATTGATATTGATGGCATAATAACACAATTTGCCTGTCTGAAAGGTACACATCTCGCTCTTTGCTTGTAAGCTCCTTGATTTTCATATGTAATTATTATTATTATTATTTTTTTTTTTGGGGGGGGGGGTAAAGTTTTNTACGCTTCGGCGGTTCTTCGCCAGTAACAAAATGTTACCCGTATAAAGCTTGGCCCAGGAACATATCAGCTATTTCTCCTACCAGGAATGGAGTGTGCATGTACGCACATACGCCTATGCATACAGCTGAAATCTGGAAAAATATATAGATTTTTTGTACTTCCTGAAAGCATTTTTATCATTAAATCGGGATAAGTATTTCCTTTATACTTTTACTGATTAAGAGGAGCAAAATGGATCCGAATGTGAAGCCACAAACCTTGGTTGAGATTTTTGACCAAGCCAGCTCCAATTCTATCCCGGGGTATATGTAGCTCTCATAACTTTGCTGACTTACCCTGTGTCAACATGCACAACTGAGCGTAGCTTCAGCAGTATGAAGAGACTGCAAACTCTTACGAAGGACCATGACAGACGAGAGATTGAGTTCTCTTGCAATTCTGCATATGAGCACAAGGACGTAATTGATATTGATGGCATAATAACACAATTTGCCTGTCTGAAAGGTACACATCTCGCTCTTTGCTTGTAAGCTCCTTGATTTTCATATGTAATTATTATTATTATTTTTTTTTTTTTTGGGGGGGGGGGTAAAGTTTTGATACACCTCACTTTTCTGAAAACCCCCGTCCCCCGGGACGTAATAAACGATCGGTCCCTTAGTTTCCCGGTTTCCCCGCCGATAGGTCAAAGTTTCAACTCTGTACTACGGCCCGAATGTTTGTATTTTTTTTCTACATCCGGAGGGGCCAAATAATGCTAAATATGCTCTTCAATACACTTTTAAAATAACACCATACAATACGCAAAAAAGAAGAAGAAGAAAAGAAAGAACAAAGCAGGGACCTTCACGACGACATTCGCGGTGGGTCACCCATCCAGTTCCCAACCCCGCCCGACATCCGACAGGGCTTAACTTAAGTGGCGCTACTAAAAAACCGACATTCGCAAGGGTTATTGCGAGATACGTATTTCTAGTATTATAATGACAGACTGCAAAAACCACAGGGTTTAAGTCTTTGATAGAAATGGTAAGTTTCTTCGTAAGTTTGGTGAATATGGAAGTCTTGATCGCCAGCTTAAAAGCCCGGAGGGTTTATCAATATATGACAACGGTGATATTATTGTTACTGATAAAGGTAACAAATTAATCAAGATATTCTTCTTCTAGTGTAGAGTATTTACGTTGTAAATCAGATTTGGTGGATCAGGTTCTGGACACTTGCCAAAGTAAGAAAAATCAAAGAATCATTTTTTGGCTTTGGTAAAATTCAAGATGGCGGAGTGTTTGTTTGAAGAGAATCCCCCGTCGAGGGAATAAACAGATTTCTGCGCCGGAATATGGGGCGATAAACGCTCATTGCCAAGACATGAACACGTCACATCGTCATTTATAAGTCTTCACTGGCTGCCGATTAAGTGTAGAATCAATTTCAAGATTGCTATGCTCTGTTTCAAGTGCATTCATGGACACGCCCCCAATTATCTAAAAAGCATGGTCGCCATCAAGAAGACTTCGACATACAACCTCCGCTCGAGCACCAGTATCCAGTTGGAAGACCATTTACGACGATAGAAAAAAAACGCTTGGTGATCGAGCCTTTTCCAGTGCATTCGCCAAGATTTGGAACAGTCTCCCGCAACTATTACAGTCACAGCAAAATTATAACACCTTTAAGTCATTGCTTAAAACTCACTATTTTAGAGAAGCGTTTAATTTATAATTTCTTTTTAGTGTTTCATATAGTATACATCTTCGCATTTTATTATAAATTCAAAATTGTAAATAGGTAACATAGTAATTTTGGATTCAATTTTAATATGTAAGGCGCATTTGATCATATCCTCCTGGGCCCAGTTGTTCGAAGGCCGATTAGCACTTAACCCAGGGTTAAATTTAACCCGGGTTCCTTCTTCTTTTGCTCAAAAACATTTTCTCGGATAATTTTCTCTGTTATTTTTAAGAGCATCCAATCATCAACTAGTTGACAAAAAAAATTATACTGAATTTTTTCATATCTGAATTCAAATTTCGCACTAACCCTGGGTTATTTTAACCCAGATTTGAACATCCCGGTCCTGTATGTTAGTTTGCGCTATAAAAATATTAAATATTATTATTATTATTATTATTATTATTATTATTATTATTTATTCTGACAAAACAACATGGCGGCCGCAGTGGAAAACACCACTTGAAAACCCCTGGAAACACCATTTTCGAGACTCTAAATTTCAAAATATTCCTAGATGCCTCGGCCCTCAAAAACTAGTGTCTTTGGTGCGAGTTCCAAAGCCACCTACTATTCATTGTCAGTCTGCTACTTAAAAACTTTTGACAGCCCTGTATAAAAATATTATGTAAATTAGGGGGCGTTTGACGGCTTGTTAAATGAATGTATGAGGCGTTATTTTTTTCCCTCTTGAGCCAAAGAAGCAAAAAGCAATAAAATAAAAAAAAAAAAAACGCATAATCTCAGGTTGATGTCCGCTGCCATACTCGTTGTATCCTTTGCCAAGCAACTTCCGAACATATCCCGAAAATTTATCGATCTGTTACCGAAGAATGTTGCTGAAACTTTTGGGGCATATGCAGAGCTAAAAACCTAGTGGAAACGTATTTCGTTGACAGTTTATATAAAGTATTCATGGCAATTTCAAACGTCCGTTTCTTTTTCTTATTTTCCCGAAGGAATAAGGTTTTCACGGAATGCTCAGCGGTTTCACCATGGATAGTAGTCTTTCTATTATCCATGGTTTCACGACATTTTATTGATTGGTGTTACTAAATCCCAAGCCTATTTGAAAAAAATCGGAAACAGATCACAGTTTACAAGATCAACAGCTAGTATAGCCTGAGGGAAACAGCCGACATTTGGCGACGCTACCACTGGTTTCCCTGCCAAATGACTAGGCTTGGATAAACTCGGCTCATAAAATGGCTTATTCTACCTGCCGGCGGTGCTCGTAAAAATCGCTTATTCTGCTCAAAATTCTGCTGGGACACACTTATTCTGCTCGAATTCTGCTCGGTAAGCGAAAAATGTTCGGCGCCTTGGGCCATATTTATTTCCGCAAATATAGAAGGGAGCCTGAGCCTAACCCCTAAAAACTAATTCTGCTCGAAAATATCTTATTTTGCCGGCAGAATGCTCGCCTCAAAATTCGCTTATTCTTCCGGCAGAATTTATCCAAGCCTACAAATGACATCTGAGAAACGAGCGCACAAATTCCATACTGATGACGCGTCACTACCCAGATGTAGTTAGTGACGCGTCATCGGTATGGAATTTCTACGTTCGTTTCTCAGACGTCATTTGGCGGGGAAACCAGTGGTAGCGTCGCCAAATGTCGGCGGTTTTCTCAGGCTACAGCCAGTCTTCGGGAAGATATCTTTCGTTTTACTGTTCATTAACGAAATTTTCTTGTAGCAATGACTAACGCTGATGAAGACTGGGCGGCTGAAGTTGATGAGCAAGAGCGGCAAATCTCTGGAGAAGTAAGTTACTGTCGCTGCGTTTAGAATTCCATAAGGCTTTATAGAGGAGTTCACGCTTATAGTTGCATCATGGGTAATCAGGGCAAGATGCGGGAAATTAGAATTGAAAGCCTTCTATTTCTTCTTGAATTCATATATCTGAAACTTTCTCTTCGAAAAGAGTAAGAAAGAAACAATACACTAAATCTGGAGTGCAAAGAAGTCCGTGATCAGTTTTTAGAAAACCTCAATTTTTCCATACAATTTCTGTAATTTTGAGACTGTCGAATTTTTTCATGTTTAAATTATAAAACCCATCAAACCGTTGAATGGTGGCTTCATTTTGATACAGAGTTTTCAGCAGACATGTCGATCTGGGCAGAGTTTTTCGAAGGCCGATTAGCGCTTAACCCGGGTTTCTGTTTCTTCTGTCCAAAAGCACTTTCGCGGATATTTTTCTCTGTTATTTTTAGAGCTTTCAATCATCAACTTGTGGACAAAACGAATTAAAACTGAAATGCTTTTTAAGCTTTCAAATCTGAATTAAAATCTTGCACTAACCCTGGGTTATCTTAACCTAGCTTTGAACAACTCGGCCCTGGGGAAAAAAGAAGAGCGTAGAATATATTACACCTTCATAATCACGTTCATTTCTTAGGAAATGTACTGGGTTTTAGACTTTTCTTCCCTTGTGGTAGTGGATGAAATCACTGATACGGCGAGATATTTTGGACAAGCCTCCTTGTTCAAGAACTGATATGCAGCTTTTTAACCACAGAGAGGGCCAAGAAAAACGATCATTTTTTTCAAGGGTTTTGGTATTAAAGGCCCAGTCAATTCCAAGCATGCCTTTCCTCTTCCCTCTGATCATGGGCATTTCAAAATTAAACATTCTGGCTTCCCCCAAGATTTTCACTTGTGTTAAATTATGTTTTACATGTCAAATTTTTCATCATTCACTACACCTTAGGGGCTGTCGTCACTAAGTGTTTGGGAACCAGTGCCTGAGTACCGGGACAGAATGGTGTTGTGTTCACACTAAGAGAACGATAATTACTCCATTTCGCCCTGCCAGCGGTGGACTGCCCGGAACTTACAAAAATTGTGTGCAGACAGGGACCCAGTTCCCACGTTTGTGCCCAAGAACAAGGTCGAGATCTTGTACTCGAGCACCGGCACCGTGCCCGAATTCTAGATAGTGGATACTTGAAAAAAATGGTGCATTCACATTAGTGCCCAGCGAGGACTGTACTTGAGCACCGAGTGTAAACGCTGCCTTATATAATGTGTGATGATAGGAACAATAAGCAAGAGATGTGATGACCGTTAAGAGTAGTATTGTAGCGAGATTTACCTGAGAAAAAAGCCAACAATTCAATGACATTTTGTGATGCCATCACTGTTTTTCCCAGGAAATGACCTCTGAGGAACAAGAGTATAAACTCTAGACTGATGGCATTTCACTAACCAGATTTGTGTATTGATTCTGATTGGTTAATGCAAATTTCTCTTGCAGAACAACAAATCAGAAGCATTGCCCATATCTGGGTAGTGACACATTTCTGCACTCATTCCCCACGTGGAAAACAGTGATGGTGGCCCAAAATGTTGGCTTTTTTCTCAGCCTACTACTAACAACCCTTTTGACTTTCATATATTTGTTCACTATTGCAGGTTGATAAGTTGAAATTAAGTAACACAAGTACCACTAAACCAACTGAGGAAAAGCAAGCTAATACAGAAGAAGAGGATAATGGTACAAATAAAATGCAAGCTCAGTGCTCAGTGATATATTTTGTAATAATATTATTATTCATATTAATCATAGCTATCAACTGTCCTGATTTCAGCACTAACAGGACAGTGTAATAGGACAGTACGCTTTATGCCTAAGTAATTGGACAATACGTGCCATCGGCCGCGCCCACTTAAATGGCTTTTTTTTTAACTTCTAGAAAAAGCTATCGTAATTTCTTGTGTTTTAATTTTAAAAGAGGACCAAATCTCACGAACTTTGTTATAGTTATGATTAATTAGTATACAAAACTTCGTGTCGTCCAATGTGGTCTGTAATCATGCTCGTGATTAAATAAATCGGACTCCCGCTATGCAGTCGTCCGATTTTGTTAATCACTTGTACGATTACAGACCGAATTGGACTCCACTCAGTCCTTAGTACCATTATTTATACTTTTATCAATACTAAAACCCCATACTGCGCATTGTCTTTCTTCCACAGAGCTGACTAAGGGTACAGACCTTGCAGATGCTTCTTTTTTGATGAAAGTGTTAAGAAGTAAACTTGTTAAGACCAAGAATGAGGTTGAGGTACAGAGAAATGACCCAAGTTCACCTTTGTACTCTGTCAAATCATTTGAGGAATTACCACTGTAAGTACTGACCACCATTCTATTGGTTTTCCTCTTTACATGAAAAGATCTTAAATTTGAAAGGTTTATCAGTGATTTAACATAAATGTGAATATCTGTGTTGTTTTCTTTTTGTTAGGTCAGAACAACTCCGTCGTGGTGTCTATGATATGGGTTTTAACAAACCATCCAAGATTCAGGAAACAGCACTACCCATGCTCTTAGCTGATCCGTGAGTTACATGTACTGCATGTTTAATCCCTTGAATTAATTTTATCATAGTGTCCTCAGTCTTCACATAATCAACACTGCTGGACTAGTAAAACCATATTTGACTTTGACCGACAGAAGCCTGGTATTCTTGGTAACAATTCAGAAGCGGCCAAGTCCGTTCCTCGAGGCTTTCTGAAAGTCACGCTGTTGGAGAAAGGTATGAAGTTTTCATTTGTTTTAATCGCCATAATCCGATACTTTTAACTGTCATCTGAACAGATAATGTCTATTTAAAGAAAGTTTTTATCTTCAAGTTCCCATCTGATTGTAAAACTCGATTGAAATAGAATTCCACAATGAAAGTCAGAGGATTTTTTACGAGTCACTGATCTGACCTGTTCCGACATGTTGAGCAGATGTTATAAAGCATTTTACGTTTCATTAATATTATAACAGCACGGTCAATCTTCCTGGAGTGATTTTGTTGTTCAAAATAAGAAATGCTAGTGGAGAGNGTGTATTAAAGCGTTATGGCTTCATTTTCGTGTCTCGCTCAACAGACTAAGAAAAAAAAGAAACTGCTTTTGGTCTACTGCCAATAATTGGTGTCATTTGAATGGCGATTGGTCACACTGTAGGATTTCGTCTTTTACTCAAAAGTAGAAACAACTTTTAAAAAACTCCTTCTTCCTCTTTAGTAGTGAAAGTGTTACATCAGAACAAACATGAAGTGTTTCATGATGAATTTGTTCACATGAAACTGTAGTGTTGTAATGAACTGATTTGTTGTACTTTTATCAAGGTTATTTGTATTTCACCTACATATGAGCTTGCACTACAAACAGGACAAGTGGCGGAAAAGATGGGCAAATTCTGCCCTGAAGTCAAGATTGGTTATGCAGTGAGGGGGGAGAGAGGTGAGAAACTGGAGCCAGCAAAAATAATCATGCTATGTGCAAGACATAGGCCTGAAGGGGGAATACCATCCTGTCTCGCTCAGGGGTGTAAATTTTGGATTTCTTGTCTTACTTAGTAAGACAAAAAGTAAAACGCCAATATTTTTAGCCTCTTAGGCCTAAGTCTTGTTTGGGGCTGTGGTTAAAAAAAGTTGAGCCTTTCCTCAATTGGTCTCCTTAACGGGTTTAACTCAATGCTTGGTATAAGCATCATTTTCTGTTTTATTTTTAGTTCAAGAGTTTACTTGTCCACTTATCCCCAGAAGCATGCTAGGGGTGCGGGGGGGAAGGGGCGGTTGCGTTGAGAAGCTTGCAAAGAAAGTAATCTAAGATAGCCCTGGGCTATAAGACTAGTGGAGTTTGCTATCTGGCTAGTGAATTGCTCGATGGGCAAGTGAAGTTTTATGGGGAGTTGATAAAAAATTATCACAGAGGAACGGTAATCAATCCTTTTCAGCAAAAATTTTTGTCTGTGCTAGTCGAAATGACTTTGGGGCTAGCTACAGCTTACGTAAATGACAGGCAGTAAAGCCGACTTTCTTTGCACCCTGGTTAACGCCTATAAATATGGCTTAGCATTTTTTTTATTTTGTTGCTCAAGAAAATGATTATTGGATATTCCATAAACAGCGTTTAATGTTCTTAATCCCCTCTCCTTCTCCTTTCTACAGTGTCAAGAGGGCAGAAACTCACAGATCACATAATATTTGCTACACCTGGAACTCTACTAGACTGGATTCTGCGCCACCGAGCACTGGACCCCCAAAAAATCAAGATGTTTGTGTTAGATGATGCTGGTGTCATGATTGCGTTAAAGGGACACCAGGATCAGTCCATTAGAATATACAGGAAAGGCTTGTTCCCTTTTGGCATACTTACGGATCATACTGGCAAAAAATCTCTGATACGTCCTTTCAATGAGATTATAAATAATCATAGTTACTGGGAGATTTTCTGTTGACCAGTAGATGATTACATTGTGCAAATGCATTTGTCTTATTTCCACAGAGGTTTGCCCTCTGGTTTGCTTCGAATAGCTTTACCGCTCTTTTCCCTTTTGTTTGCTTCCTTCCACCCACCCACCTCTTTGTTCCTTGGAGGGAACTCCATTCAGTTAAGTTGTCTTTTTTCGATCTTTCATATTCTCCACTGAGAGACCAGTGTGACAGGTTCCAAGGGCAGGTTGTCATTGTTACCCCGCTTTAGTTGCAATGCGAATACTGAACTTAAGAAGTAATGTATTTCTCCTGTTCTAGGACCCTGCCTAAAGATTGCCAAATGCTTCTGTCCTCTGCAACCCACGACGACGAGGTGATGAAATTTGCTAAGACAGTAGTACCAGACCCTATCATCATTCGGCTGCGTTGGGAAAAGGAGAGCCTGGACAATATCAAGCAGTGTTATGTGGTGTGTCGTGACAAAGAGGATAAGTTCCAGGCCCTCTCCAACATGTATGGCGTTGTGTCTATTGGACAGTGTATCGTTTTCTGTCACGTAAGTGTTAAATTAAATTGCTTCCCTCGCCCTCCTATTTCCTTTCCTCTGATTCCCATCCAAATCCTTCCTCGCCCCAGGAAATGACTTCAAAGCAGCTTAAATTTTAGTTGCTGTTTGGGAATTTTTTCCTAACCCTAGGATGTTTTTACATTTATGTATGCCTGTGTCATTTCAGACTCGGAAGGCGGCCTCTTGGTTGGCAGAGAAGATGACAGCGGATGGTCATTCAGTAGCACTGTTGTCAGGCGAGATCACAGTGGAACAGCGGCTAGCAGTATTAAACAAATTCCGTGACGGCAAGGAGAAACTGCTGATAACAACTAATGTCATCGCCAGAGGCATTAATGTGGAACAGGTAAGTTCGCATTGGCCGCCATAAGAATCAATGACCATGGATTTTGGGTTTGTGCATGATAAAATCATAATATGTAATGACATCGGTAACCACACTAAGGTACCAGAATTTTAAACAGCAATGAAAAATGTAAAAAACATCAATCGTATTAACATTGCATGCAAAAAAGTAAGCAGGAGCCAAGTAAGAGCCCGGGTAGGTACTTAATGTTACTCCCTGAAAATTCGGGTAGGGATGTATGGTATATAATATGCTTCTTAACTTACGCTATTTTAGATCATAGTAACTGGGCCAGTTTTTCAAATTTTAATGCTAGGCCTGCAAAAACTACCAAAAGGTTATTATTTTCAGTGCTCCCTGATGAAATTTGTTTGATATCCTCTTCGTAACTGCATAGGAGCATTACTGTATGGGCTAACCCTTTAGGTCCCAATGGTGACCAACATCAATTTTCTCCTAACGATATACATGCAATGTCAAGAGATTAGGTTATGAGAATTAATAAAATGATCACCTAAGAGAAAATGCCTTGATCTTTTAACAAATTCTCTCAACACATTCTTTTAGGAAATGCATAGAGATCAGCTTCGAGAATTTGTATGTGGATATTAGGTCCTAAAGGGTTAAAGCACTAAGTAATGACTCGAGCACAGAATTGATCAAAAAGGGCTATTCCCTTGTGCAATACCCCCCCCACCCACCGTCCAAATTCCCTTGGTGACGCCAGTGAGGCCTTAGGCCCTGTTTACATGTAAACATGATCAAATTAAAATGAGAGATTATATGGACAGAAGGGTTACCCCACCTAAGCAGGTTACCACACCTCCATGTAAACAGGCCCTTAGTAATATGATGTTGTTTTTTTTTTGTCTTGTTGCTATAGGTTACTGTCGTAATAAATTACGATATGCCAGTTGAGCCCACGGGTAAACCGGATTACGAAACATACTTGCACAGGATCGGCATGACTGGCCGGTTTGGCAAGAGCGGCATTGCCGTCAACTTCATTGATGGTCAGCGGTCTTTGACGATCATGAAGAAAATCGAAGAACATTTTGGCAAGAAAATAACGCTCTTGCAGGCTGATGACGTAGATGAACTTGAGAAACTGGGCAACTAACTTGAAGCACCAAAGTTATGGAAATAGATAAGATATCGCTTTTGCAGACTGATAACGTCCATGTTGAGAAATTGGGCAACTAACTCTAAGCACCAAAGTTAAGGATTCCAAAATAGATAAGATTTGTTTAACAAGGAGTGTTACCCAAGGAAATCTCTCTTTAAACTTGTAATTTGCAACCTCACGTAAAAGTCTCTAAGGATTTCATTCTGGGGTAGAAGATCTAATTTCTTTAGACCATGAGTGGTTCTTCGGTAATGCATCAAAATTCTTCTTGATATGTAGAGCGTTGAATATTTGCCAGTCACGGTCTCGATGAACTAATCCATGGCTATCTTGTATATTTTATTGGCAAAGTGTTGACCTTATGCGGCAAACATACTAAAACCAGTCAGGGGACTGCTTGCCATGATGACGAAAGTGGTTGCACTTGAGAATTTCTCTCAGATTCAAAAGCTAAGATCACCTTGTAGGGTATAATAACATTTAACTGCTGAAGGACAGGGCTTAAAAACGGCTGATTGGTCGAAAGGTTGTGACGTAAAAAATTGATCTCGTAGTTACTGCGCATGCGGAAAGTTAAGAATGAATGATCTTGTTGTCAATATGGCGGACGATTGGTGGCCGATTGGGAGCTGTATTTCGGCGCAGTTTTCAAATTTCTTACCATATCAGGACGTGTTGCTACAGTAGTTGAGATTTATCAGTTTGTATTAAATTCCTGATACACAAAAAATAGTGTTTCGGCTACTTAATCAATAGATAAAAGAGCAACATGTTTTGATGCAAGCAAGCGTCAAGGGAATCAACCGTCAACAACGTACAACACAAGTGGTTTGCGACTTTTGGTCATTGCCTTTTTTGTATTGAGTGGCTTCTAGAAGAGCCGTTTTGTGTCGGTGAGGTCTTTTCCATGGATTGATGGTGGCCCCTCAAGCTTGACATTTGATTTCGTACGTTTAAAGATGCGCGAAGCGGGAAATTCCTTTTTCTGGATATTAAACAGCCCTCGTCGAAATCTTCTGCATCATCATCTGCTTTCTGGTTGAATGAATCCCCGTTGTCATCATCTTTATCGTCGCCATCGTCATTGTCATCATCTCCGGCAAGGTATCTGGAAATAATTTTTTTGTAAGGTTCTGGTTATGTTAAATGTTTGTATCGACGTTTGTGACAATGATCACGCGTGGCTTAATTGCTTGCTGAAATTTCATGAGCTTACTTGAAGTTGTACAAGTTATTCACTTATTGTTTTCTTTTTTACATGCTAAAAAACTCAAGAATAGTAAGCGTTATATAAAATTTATGTAGTAATTTTATATTTTCATTGTTACAACGATCAGTCTCAAGATCAGATAGTAAGGAAACACTGTTCAATAACACATTTCTTTTTACCTCTTAATGACTGAGCCAGTTCTTTCATCCTTTGTACCAACAAAGGGTAACATGAGGGGCAGTTTACTTCCTCAGTCCGGAAATAACTGTGGTCTGGGGATTGTTGGTTTGTGTTATGCACAATTGAATTATGTTTTCAAAGTTGCTGTTGTGCACATAGGTTGCCATGTCACATTTCAGGCAAAAATTAGGCTCATGACCAGGAAAAGCATAGCCAAGGGGAAAGCAATGCTGGTCTAAATTAGCATCAATAACTGGAAAATAGTAGCCTAGGGCTGAAAAAGTAATGAAAATGAAAAATATATCTGTAAGGCTTGGCCGGGTTATTGAGATAGAATCAATTTTCACTTCTTTGTTTACTTGACAAGAAATTTCTTGAGTGACAGATGCAGAGACTGTGAATAATAATAATAATAATAATAATAATAATAATAATAATAATAATAATACCAGCATGAATATTATATCTTTTCAATACCTGATACTTTTTTCTTCCTTTGGAAATGTTTTGTGTTTTCACTTTGCTTCATCCACACGTCACTGAAGATGTTTACAAAAAATTCTGCTGCTGAAAATTAATACCAGTGCAGCCAAATTTTTCCTTCCTCTCACACTTGTGCACTGAGGTAGGAACCATTCAATAAACTCATTGTCATAGTTCTACCCCTGAGTGCATGGAATGTTGTTCTTATTTCAGGTGGCATTGCCCACACAGGAACATTCCTCATTTTTGTTGTAGTTCAATGAAGACAAATAGTTCAGTAATGACATTACGAGTTCAGTAAACATACACAAGCCTAATGTCATTCCATTCTAGGTGCATGCATGGCCATTTATAGTCTTATGTATGGTATTTATTTTTATTGCCTGGAAAAAAAGTAGTTCAATAACCACATATCAGGTCAATAATCACAATAGTTCACAAACCACACAGCAACCCAGTGCTACAGCAATAATTCAAGGAATAATTGAAATCATCTATTTAATTCTTTTGGGAAGGATGTGGAGAGGGGATGGGGGTAGAGGCGGTGGTCTGTACTTACATAGCTGTTTAAAGATTTTGCCTGACTAAAATATATTATGCTTTGACAGAAAGTTATAAAGAAGATAGAAGAAAAGTCCAGGAGTACACGACTTTGAAGATCAGCAGATATGGGGAATTTTTCTCTTGCATAGTTCAGTAAAAAAGACACAGTAGTGAAGAAGAGATGTCCCAGAGTGCATAATAAAGAGCAGCAGTTGATAGAGAAAAGAGAGAGAAAACCGGAGAAGTTAGAATTGAATGATCCAAAAGACCAAAGAAAAAAATATTCTGTAATACATTGTTTTGCAGTTTTTACCTAGATGTACACCACTAAGTTTCTTTTCTGTCTTTTGGCACATCTTTAGTACTGCTGTCTAAATTAAACATTATTTTCACATTAAAAATTGTTTTCTGGCTTGTCTTAAGATTTGGTCAGCCAAGCTGTCTAGCTGCCCAGCCATTACTTGTAGTTGGTCAGCCACTCGCTTGGCTTCAATGACTGCTTGTTTAATGTTTTGTTTTGTTTCACTGGTTGCTACCAGGGCTCAAAATAACTGCCAATCAATAAACAGTGTCAGGCCAAGGTGACCATTTTGTCCAGACTAACCCTTGGTTTGCCAGTCATTTTGAGTAAACATGTACACTGCTAATGGATTTGAATTTATCTACATTTTTTCTTTTTAAGCTACTATGTTTAAATTATCCTCCTGGTTTAAATCATCGTATTATTTTTAATATTTTGGACATGACCCCGCAAACAATAGACTTAACCGAGCTGATTTTCTTTGGCTGGTCTGAATGACCAGCAACAGTCAAAAAATTATTTTTCTTTTTACCCAGACTACTCAGTAAAGACATAATTGTTGTAGTTTTGTACTTCATATACATTTCGCACTTTTTGCATGTATAGCCCTATTTTAGAAACGTCTTGGCTCTATTGAAATATTTCGCCATTACTAGTAGTAAATTACTTGGTTTTGGAACAAACTCAGGCTATGCAAGACTGCCGCAACCCTTGATTTTTGGGGCTCTCTTCTTTTCTCTGAAAGGGTGTGGTTTTCATCAATGAATATTGCATCAAAATTCCAGTGGCATTCTTGTCACAAACATTTTCCATTTTACATGGGTCATAGAGTTTTCCCCCCATTGTTATAGTGTCTGATGAGAGCCTTGTGGAATTGTAGGAACAGTGTGCTAAATAATGTGCCCCCCTTCCCAATTGTGTAAAACAATTTTACAATAAGGCAGAAGTAATGATTTAACTGTTGCTATTTTCATGTTACTTGTGAGAATTCCCTATGTACTACAGAGATAAAACTTGAATTTACTTAATTTCTTGCAGTCAATTGTGTATATTTGCTCGGGACTGTTAAAAGGACTTTTAGAAGAGTTTACCTTTCAATTTTCTCTTCTACAATAGTTATTATAGTATCGTCCAGAAAGTCCTCTGGAGTTGAGCACTTTTGCTGAAAAATGTCTGTCAGATGTGAAATAATACATAACATCTGGAGTCGCAATACGGTGATTGGATGCCTTTTTGTATACATCAGTAATGGTGTAAATAGGTACAAAGTACACATGTATATGTCTTGTTTACAATTGTGTACAAAAACTACAATGGCTACCTTATTTTTACTAGAAGTATTATTTAAATTCTCTTTCCTTTCCCAGGTCCCTTTCCTTCTCCGGGATTACAATCATGTACAATGGTTTGTCTGAGTTCTCCATACTTTGGGCTCTGGTCTGTGGACGTTCATGATAGAGCAACAGTTTCGTTTGTTTCCTTTAGTTTTCTGCAGATGGTACTTTTACAAACAGATACACTTCCAAAATAAACGCGGGATCGTCCTTCTATACCCTTATATACAAACACGTCCCGAACAGGCCGGAAGCGAGCCTTCTCTCATAAACAAACTCATAAAAACAAAACATCACGAAAAAGATTAAAAATAGGCCGATGACGGGCTGGTTATAAGCTCAAATAACATCATAACATTGGAGACGCACGCGGCCAGCCGCAGTGTAGCTCACGGTAACAGGAAATTAAAACACAACATGGTGCACAATGAAGTCGCATGAAGTTTAATAATTTCAAGTTTTCCGAACACCGTCACTTACAAAACAAAGCAAAATTTTGGTTATCAACAGTGTGTACAAGACTTTGTACGCCTAAATGTACAGTAAATATGAACTAATATTTCAACTATCGGCCGGACTCCTGTTTCAGTTTCTCTTACCAGCCGCAAGAGATGAGAGTAAAGACAGCAAAAACAGAAAAATGTAATGTTCTGTACTCACGAAGTGCACCTTCATTTCATCCATATGCAAAGTCAACGACGCCCACGAACAAGAAGCGATAAAAAAGTTTCATCAGAACGAAAAAAAAGTCATATTTGATATTTTGTACAGGAATGAATAAGCTACAAGAAAATGCACTTTAAAACCTTATAGACGTCGAGACCACCTTATATCACGGCAAAACCGTACCTTGACGGAATTCTGAAAAGGTGAAATATTGTTTTTAAAGGCGTTGTGTTGATCGCTTCATTAAAATCACAGCACCGTTCCGATTTGTGCCATC